TATATAAAACTGTAGTTGTTGAGCTTTTCTAACATACACCACAATGTAATTCAGTGTATAATTTATAGTATAATCAGTCTTTTTCACTGATGATGGGACTGTCAATGTAAATGAAGGTGCCAAGCATGCCATTATTATTTTAGTGTAGGAGCCCTCAATTTTTGTTAGTGCTATAAGAATGGATGTACAGAATGTTAGTGCATGCCTTTAATCCCAGCACTTGGGAGGCAGAGGCAGGTGGATTTCTGTGAGGTAGAGGCCAGTCAGGCATACATAGCAAGTTCCAGGCAGCTGGGGCTATAGGGAGACCCTGTCTCAAAAAGACCAAAAAAAAGAACTATATCGCTTAGATTTACTAAATTTATATGAGAGCTGTCATCTCTAGCAGTATTTCCATACAGTAACATATAGTATGTTTGTATAGATCTTTTGTATTTCAATAAAGGTTTATAGTACAACTTTTATTTCAGTAATTAAAACTTTTTATAGTTTTTGGGGGAATACTTTTATTATTTCACATTAAATGTTTCCTTAGGAAGTTTCTGGTAAAAATCCTTAGTAAGGTTTGGACATGACTTTTATTCCTAGATTACTGTTTTTTTGTTAATATTTTCAAAAATCTTGTAAGAAATGTTAAATTTTATCAAGTACTTCTTAAACATGTCTTAAGAAGGTGACATTGAACTCTCTGGTTTTTAAAAAAGGGTTTCATATTTGGAAAGTCTTATTTGACTCATTTAATAGAATGTTAAATTCATTTTGCTAATATTCTATGAGGAAGGGAAGCAATGCTCAGCTCAAGTATAATATGTTCTAAATATCCTCACTGTATATTGAGAAAAAGAGAGGAATTAAAACATATTATCTCATTTTTGAAATGTAATGCTTGTAAAAATACAAATTCCTTTAGTGGTGATAATATATTACCTTTTTCATCATGTCTCAATTTTTTTCTGATTTTAGTGGACAATGTAATTTTAGCATATTTGTCCTTCATAGATCTCAGAAGTAAGTTTTTCTTAGTAGAGCTTTTTTTTCCTTTTTTTTTTTTTTTGGTCTTTTTGAGACAGGGTCTCCCTGTAGCCCCAGCTGTCCTGGAACTCACTATGTAGACCAGGCTGGCCTTGAACGCACAGAGATCCGCCTGCCTCTGCCTCCCAAGTGCTGGGATTAAAGGTGTGCACCACCACGCCCGACTAGTAGAGCATTTTTTAAAGATTAAAAAATTTTATTGTTACCTGAAAAATGCTTAACCAACTTCTCTTTTCTTTTTAAAGTTCATTGTGAAGGATTCTGTTGAAGAAAATATGTTGAAAATACAAAACACAAAAAGAGAACTTGCAGCCGGAGCTTTTGGAACCAAAAAAACCGATGCTAATGACATGAAGCAAGCGAAAATCAATGAGATCAGAACTTTAATTGACCTGTAACTTGGGGGACTTCTGTGAGGTCAGCTTGATCAGATACCTAAGTTTTGGATTTGAGACGCATTTAAGAGCGAAATGTAAAGAGTATTCCTTCTAAAAGGGACATATTTTATATTAGTAAAGAGGTGTTACACAAAATCTCCTCTATTATGAACCTATTTTTAATGATACTTCAGATAGCAATAAAGCTCCATTGTACACTGTGGCCTAAAATAAGTTCTTTGGGAAAGTTATTCAACTTTTCATAGTATCTGTGCTGAGTATTTTCATATATCTTCTAAGTACTCAGCTTTTTCATACTTCAACTAAGGTCAAAGCTTTTATACTTTTGACCAATAGTTTTTTTGTTTTTTTTTTTTTTTTTCTATTTTGGAAATACTTGGTTATTTTCCAAAGCCTCTGATTTATGATTCAGTGGATCTGTAGGCCTTATAAATCATTAACAAACATATATGCAGACTATTAAGAGAGATTGACTTTATTGGACTTTCAAAAACTTATTTGCATTCCAAAACCAAACGTTAAATGAGAGACCAAAGTTCAGGTGATCAAGTTACTTACAATTTTTTTTGTAGCTTCATTGAGAGATAATTTAGATGCTACTTGAATTCTATCTTCACAAAAATATTAGGGACCGTATCAGCATTGTTTGTCCATTTTAGTCAGGTGGTACTACATTATTTAAATGTAATGATATTAACACAGGGTGTAAATACAGTCTGTAGGGGCGAGGAAACCAGACCTACCCAATTTGATTTGAATGCTTAAATTATGAAATTTAAATAGATATTTCTATAAATACTTTTTATTTATGTAGGTTTTTGGGAAGTAACTATAAATTTTTATAATTCAGAGGACTACTACTATATGTGAGAGGTGGTAAATTGGATGGAAGCTGAGCTGATGACTTCCAAAGTCATTTCAACTCTAAAGAACATCTTAATCCTGAGTATAAAAATTCATGTATGTTTAGAATCAGAATTTTGGATTTTCCTTTACCCTTTTTTTGTTAATAAGAAAACTATTTGCCACAGTATAGATGACTTTTGGGGTCATATTTAAAACTAATAAGCAATCAGGGGAGGTCATCAGTGGTTTCATTTCCCTGAGGGATTTTCCTTTGTAATCCATAGTAGTAGTAAGAAAGGGTTCATGCTGTATGACAGACAGAAGAACATTTGAGATTTCCTGTTTACTTTAGAAGAGACTTGCCTGAAAGAGCTTAGAAACAGCATTGTTATAAGGTACCCATCTAAGGTATGTGCCAGATATCTTACCCACTAAGTCCTCTCCAACCTGTTCTTGTTCTAAGGGAACAGCAGATAAGCTTACAAGAATCTTCCCAATACTGTTTCTCAGAAGGTGAGACAGGGATTAGTTTTCATCAAGACTTTTCTACAGATGAAAGTGGAATAAATTGGGACTGGCCTGCTAGGATTAGGAGCCCTGGGGAAAATGTTACCATGTAGTTCACACAAAACAGATTGATTGAACTCCCATTAAATATGGTATTATAGTTATGTAGGTACCCATACTCCATTGAGATAAAAGTATAAACAGATTTTGGACAAAACAAAAAATGTAGCACAGTCTTCTCAATCACAAAGGTGTAAACCCTTTCAAACTCACTGTAATTGAAGGCAGTTTCCTTCTTACCCAAACCATGAGAGAGTTGGCTTTACAACACGTATCGTTTGTCAAGTGATTTAGAAAATACCTTTTTGTTTTTGTAGCATATCAAATGGTGTTAAATTAAAAAGTCAGTTTATCCTAAGACATACAAGCCATTGGAATGAAAAAACTTCACATTATGCTATGCTGTTAATTCTGTTTTATTGCTGCATAGAATAGTAGCTTACAAATACACTGAAAACACTGTGTTTCCAGTTATGGTTCAAACTGAATTTTGTGTTTCAGACTGAATTTTGCTTTAAATTTAAAAATAAAAACCTCAAAAATATGTTATCTTCCTTGGTGTCATAATTTGGTGACTATATTTAAACAGAAATCATCAAATCTCATGTCTGTAAAGATGTTTATGTTGAACAGTTTTTTATTGAATCATATTAAAATATTCTAACAATTCCCTCTTGCTCTCATCTTTTCGAGACAGGGTCTCACTGTAGCCCCAACTAACCTGGCACTTAGTATGTAGACCACTTCTTTTTCGAAATTAGTGTATGTATATTTAAAGCTTATTTAAAATACCTTGGTCGAAAACATTGTGTTGTGTTTAATTTCTTCATCTTAAGAACAAAAGTTGTGATAGTAACTGTATGTACTAAATAGAAAATAGCCCTACGTAGTTTATTACTGGTGAGCACCATTGTTCACAGGGGTGAAAACATCAGAGTATATTGATCGTCTCCTTAGAGGTCCTTTTATCTCTTACTCTAAGCTTTCAGGTTTTTGTGGGAATTTTTGTATTTTGAGCTGCCTAGAAAAGATTTTGAAAGATTTTTTTCAGTTTAATTGTGTGGCTTTGCATGGAAACGTTGGTACTTCAGTTAAGGCACCTTTGAAAGATCAAGGAAGAAAAAGAAATGTTAGCTGCTGGATGACATTGCAGCCATATGGTCTGACATACCTTTATGTTCTATGGTGACCTCACCGATTCTAATTCTAATGCTGGGTGACATTACAGCCATATAGTCTGACGTACCTTATGTTCTGTGGTAACCTCACCGTTTCTAATTCTAAAAGTTTTAATAGCTTTCACCAAATTCTCATTACATAAAAATCTAAACATTATGTAAGCTTTTTCACCTTGAATTTTATTTGTTATGCTGTTAAAAATAGGGAACAAAAGCTAGTAAATACAATCAAGAATGATACAACGTTGATTTTCCTTTCCCAAAATTTGATGTTTTTGAATCTTTTCTAATTTAAAAATATTTTCAGTATTACTGTTTCTTACATACTTTAGATTACATATTGCTTGGCCACAAAAATAAGATGGGATTCTGTTTATCTCAACCAAAAAGAAGCTAAAATAATCTAGAAGTCTTTGTAGCTATTAGAGCATCTGACACATGGAGGCACTTAAATCTTTGGTAAATGTTTCATGTACTGGAAGATCATAGGAATTCATTATCTACCCGTCCAAGGAATTTTTATTTCTGAAAGTCGTTTTATCACTAAAATTTTATAATCTAAAATAAATCCTTATGTTCTGGTGCTTTTGTAGCCAGCCTCTGAGGTATTTTCCCAGTCATTCTTGTCTGTAGGTATCCAAGCCCTTGTGTACTCTTTGATCTATACTGAATTGGAATGATCCAGGTAAGCCATGGGATAGTATAGAAAAGGCGACCATAAAGGCAGGGTCACAAAGCCATTGCAGCTTGTATCCAATTAAGTCTTGTTTGTTTCTATTCATATTCTGTTTTCTTCAGCAGAATTATTTGTGATAGCTTGTTTTAGTTTTAGAAGATTGTTTTTGACCTCACCCTGCGCTGTAGCTCGCTGTCCCATGCGGCCTAGATTTATTCCTTTTGGCGCCCTGCCTGGGTCACTGGTATTTAGGGTTACTGAATAAATCCGTAGATTCATTCACCTCTAAGTTTAATGAATTTTATTTTTGGTCTTTTTGAGACACAGTCTCCCTATAGCCCCAGCTAGCCTAGAGCTCACTATGTAGACCAGGCTGGCCTCAAGAGATCTGCCTGCCTCTGCCTCACAAATGTTGGGATCAAAGGCCTGTGCCACCACACCTGGCTAAGTTAAATAAATTTTTATTTGTATTGTTTGGGATAAAATAGTAGAAAGCATTGGGTCCAGTACTGACTGATAATTCTGAAAGCTGACAGACTGAAAATTCTGAAAGCTGACTGACTATATTCAGAGTGACAGTGAGCCTGTTAACTTTAAGGCTTCAGCAGTCTTGCTGAGTACTCACTGAGTATGTGACGACTAGATGACAGATTGACTCTGATCTCACTTTGCTCCATCGATCACAACTCCTGAAGAATAGTGGGTTTAAATCTCTTAAGTAACAATTTTTAAAGTATGTACCTGTGTGAAGCTTCATATGTTTTTGAAATGTGTGAAGCTTTAACATATTTTTGAAACAACAAATTTTGAAAAATTACTGATTTTTTTTTTCAAGGGGTGAGATAAGGGAGTACTTAATTAAACAACCAAGATCTGTCAATAAGTCTTTTATTTTTTACACAGTGTGTTACTGCAGGTAACCGTCAGATGACACACTGCAGTTTTCAAGTAGACAGAACTGAAAAAAAGCAATTCAGCATGCTGTCGTCATGGTGCATAGAAGACTGGTAAACTAAGACTAGTAGGTATGTTTACGAATCGTTCCACAGTGTATGAAAGGCTGCTGTTCTCTGAAGACAGAATTAGCCCTCTGACAGCGCTTGGACAACTGTAAACTGCAGGTCTGGTGAAGGGTAACAAGCAAGGAAGGGACAACGTCATGTCTTTTTTTGAAGGGAAATAGATTTGGAGACCAGTTCTATAACACTAAGTTGATACAGCCATCTCAATAGCTTAACATTGGGCCTCCTTTCCCATGTATGTTGGTAATTGGCAGAATTAAGTTTCTGAAACATTGGGTAATTAAGCCTAGGGTTAAAAACAAACAAACAAACCACTGTCCATGTAACAGAATTAGTACCTCACAACTTTTGCTCATTTCTCACCTACTGTCCTGCCATAGACCCTCTTGTGATGAGTTTTAGTGAAAGCCTCTTTAACAACTGAAGGACTTTTCAACCAGCTCTACATACTATCAGAAACAAGTGCCTAAGAAGTGGGTATGTCCACAGGAAAATGGCAGTGCTTCTACTGGAGGTAAGTGTCAAGTTTCCTCTTGATATTATCAAAAGAATCTGCTCCCATGTAATCAGCCTGGCCCTGTTCCCACCGTTCCTTCCGTTCTTCTGAGGACACAAAAGGTTGTGGTGTAGCTGGGACCTCCCCAAGGGACAGGTGTGACATGGCTCCTGAGACATGTTCCTAGAAAAGAGAGTATCATCAGAGGCACCTTAAGACCTGAAAATCTGAAGAACTTAAAGAATGCAGTAAATTGTACATGAGAAAAGCGAAAATGAATCATCATGCAAAAAACTGAAAAGCATTACATGAAACGAACAGAAAAGACACAAAACTACAAAGGCTATATGATTTTTTTTCCCTAAAAAATGAAGACTTCTTGACTCAGTGAAAACATTGGGAGAACAAAGCAATCAGGGTGTTTAAGTTCTGCATACCTTTCTACAGAAGCCACAAGAGAAAGCCAGTGTATAGGCCAAGTCTGAAAGCTGCAAACAGTTCAGTAGAAAGCGTAAGATGGATGACAGGGGAACACACGTCTCATGATAAATTCGTAATCCGTGTGGGCTTGGAAAGGTTGAGAACTTAAACAAAGCAATAGCTCAGGTGCTGTGCTTCTCAAACTACTTACCCAAAGAGGGACAATGCACACTCAAGTCATGTTATATAAGGAAAGCTAAGTGGTTTGAGGCTGTACCATTTTTTTCTGTCCAAGCTTTCATTTGGATTGCAAGTAGCATCTAGTAGCTTCTGTTAATTTGGTTAGTTTTAAACAATTGTTTCTGTTTCCCATCTTCGCCTTGATTTATAATTCTCAGCTCTTGCGGAAAGCATAGTATACGCAGCAGACCTACTCTGTGTTAATTTTGATTCTCACTACATATGGCTAGGCAATCAACTTCATGTGTATTATACAAGAATACCAATGCTGTCTTTCAAAACCTCTAAGATTAGTAAGTACTGGAATCTTCCTAGAGGAGGAAAGAATGTATTAAAAAGAGTGGCAGAACACCTTCTATACCTGTTTTTATTGGTATGTATTTAAATATATTGAAGCTCCAAGGACTTTAGGTATAGGATGTTACAGCCCAGGCAATACAAGGAAATCTGACATTAGATCAAGCCTGCCTTTGCCTTCCTTGCAACAGGTATGATAGAGATGATCTGCTATAGTCTTCTACTTCTATACAGGAACTTGAATTTATAGTGAACTTAAGAGAAAGATAGATCCCTGAGGCTGAGCTAGGTATACTGGAGCTAACGAGATAGTTGAACATTTAATTTAAAAATTAATTCTCCCTTCCCCTGGAGTAAAAGTGTTATACTTAATTTGGGGCTATAGAGAGATGTTTTAGGAAGGTCCATCTCAGATTTTCATAAGGATTATCTTTCAGACCTGGATTTGAGGCTCAGTTCTGTAACGGTAATCTGTTATATAACAAAACAAGTCACATGATTTTTTAAGCCTTAGGATTCTCTATAAAGGAGATATATTTGATGGAGTAATTGTTTGAGACAAGCGGAGTCCTACTGAGGACTTACTATATTGCCAGGCACTGCTCTGTGTGCTGTACAGTGTGTTTTCACGATCCCGATAAAGTACCGAACGGGAACAATGCTACTTTTCCCTTTCTCATGACTGTATTTTGGGTACTACTGAATAATTTACTCCGTTTGTTCTGTGTATCTTAATATGTAAAAGAACATTCTTCATCGTCTTCCAGTTCACCATGTAGGACAAACCTCAGAAAAGTACCTTTAAAATCAGAAAACATGCTAATGAAGGTTGATACTTTAAATGCTGTCCTGTCATCTGCCCCCCACAAAGGGGCTTCTTTTCAAGATCTTAGGACCACAAAAACAGGAAATCTGAAAGAGTCCTGGAGTATTTATTATGTATTCATATGACTGATTTTTCACATAAAACTCATTTTTCTAAGCAGATGACAAATATAAAATAGATATATTTAAGTGTTTGGAATTTCTACACCTTAAATGGAGGATTATCCTCTCCTACCCCATCTAGAGGTGGATCCCAGGGCCTTGCACATAAGCATTCGACTACAAAGCTACGTCCCAAGTCCGGGTATTCTCATAGATTTACTGCATTAGGGATAATCGCTGCGTCTTTTTATGATCAACTAAGGATTTTATAGTTATACAGTGCATGGATATATATAGAAAACCTCTAAAAACATAATGTTCTCAGATTTAATGAAACTTGCCACACAGTCTACTTTTGCTATTTCTGTGGGGTTATTTCTAAGCTCTGAGTGGTGTTGCTTTTTTCTACATAATTTTATCTATTTAAATAAAATACTACTAAACATTGCTGAACTCTGTTGATATGCCAAGTTTTTTTAAAGTGCAACACTAAATTTTGTGAAATAAAAGTACATAGAAACAGAACCCACCGTTAGATGTGAGCAGGTGTCTTTGATGAGACCAAATTGTTGAAGCAGTGGTAAGACACTGGTGGCAAAGATGTCCCACCACAGGTCCAGGAACTCCGGCTGAGTCATGGTGGGACCCTGGGATTCACTTCTGGCACTTTTTGTCTGGGGATCGTAAGTATAACTCCATGGTTTGATCCGTCCCAGGAAGTGAACAACTTTGGCACTTCCACCAAACCTGCCGAGTGAACACGTTTAAAGGGTCTGTGGGTTCTGAGCGGTAACAGGTCAGCGGTTACTGTGTAGTGTTAGCTGTGCACTTCTCACCGTACAGTAACAGCTGGAAAGAAAACTGACTTCGCTGTAAAGCTAGAAGGCACTTTTGAAACTACTCATTTGTGGGTAAATACACATAAAAATTAAAAAGCAGCTGTGGTTCAGTACAATTGAAACAAATTTGCTACTCAGAAAACATTGGTTATTACCCAGTAAAGTTGAAAATACCCATGCTCTACCACCCATACATAAGCTAGGCTCTTAGGCGCATTCCCTAAAGAAACTTGCTACATGTGCAGTGCCAGACATCACAATGTCAGAACAGCAGCACTGTGTCAACAGTCAAGCCAGACAGGTGGAGTTACTGAGCAGTAAGTACACGCTCCTCCCATCCTCCACAGAGGGTACATTTTCCCACCTGATGTTAACATTAGTTTGCCAAAGGAGGGCTAAAATATAATTACCTTTCAAACACCTGGTTGGTTCACCCTCTGAGAAGTTAAAACTACAGCCAGCAGACTCATGCTTTGTGTAGCCAAAGGAATTGGAAATGAGCTATCTGTCAAATCTGTGGCCTACTTCCAGTTTCATCTAGACAGAATCAGAGCTAGTCTTGCTGACCACCAAGAAGTAAAATATAGTAAATACGTGCTTACTGGGTAATGTGATATTTCAATACATATTGCATAATATTTAAATCAAGGTATAATCCTGTATTTCTTTCTGGTGAAAACTTTAAATCATTAGCTACAGTTACCCTACTATGCTATTTTCCCTCTTAACTTGAGTGGTTAGGTCTTTTTAAAACACTGCAGTTAGGGGCTGGAGAGATTTGCTCTGGTTAAGAACATGTACTGCTCTTGCAAAGGACCCGAGTTTAGTTGTGAGTTCCCATACTGGGTGACTCACAACCACCTGTAACTCCAGCTCCAGTGGATTCAACACACTTCTGCTTTCTGCGGTCACAGGATTCATGCACAAAGTCACATACGGACAGATACATATAATTAAAAAATAAAGCCAAGTGTGGTGGTGCATGCCTTGAAAGAAGCACTCAGGGGGCAGAAGCAGGTGGGTCTCTGTGAATTCAAGGCCAGGCTAGTCTACCTAGTTCCAGTCAGGCAAGCCAGGACTACATAGTGAGAAACAGTGAAAGTGAATGCAAGAGCAACATGAGGAAGCTAGGAGCCCTGAGAGCTCACAAACGCACATTACAGGACAGAGGTGTCAAGACAGAAGGGTATGACTTCAAGCTTCTGCAGTAGATAGGGTCAGGACAGCTATGCAGAATTCTGACAAATGGGTGAGCACCTGCGCACACAACCATGTGTCCCCAGTCACAGCAGAGAGGCGGCGATGCGTAAAGACAAAGGTAAACTGGAGTGTGGATCCTCAGTACTGGCTCAACGGTAAACCTGATGATTTTTTCTATGGGCATTCAGCATATTTTCAGCATGATGTGATGTACAGGCCAAATAATATAGACTATATAATATCTCCTATCTCCTGGTTTTGTAATGTTAGGAACCTGCTACGTAGCTATCATCTTGGAATTCACTCTGCTAGGTTCAGATTTTGTAAGGACATTGCTGAGAATAATATTCCTACTAGGTGGGCTTCAATTAACATGTTAAATGAAGCCAAGAAGACAGTTGTTCAAGGCCATAAAAGTATTAAGTGGCACAGATGGGATTTGGCAGTTTTGCCTAAGGCCTGAGCTTACTGTCCTGTGAGGGTAGCCGCAACTCAAATTATGAAAGATAAAGCTGAAAAGTAAACTTCCTTTCCAAGGCTGTTTACTCCAGTTTCTTCTGAAGATGAATACCTGATATCCCCAAGCTCTGTATTTTAAACATGTTCTTTCTCTCCCATCTTGACTTCCTTCCCTCCCTTTCCTCACAAGGATAGAAATCATAATGTCCTAATTTGTACACAGATAGTGCTGTTAACTGCATGGGCAACTGTTGCATCTTAGGCACTGTGTCCATTCGGTGTGTGTCCCAAAGAAGCTTTTGTCCATGCAGGAAGACAGGTCATATGCATAAAAATAAGTCATTGGTGCAAGCAGAGAAGCAAGTTAGTGCCACCAAGGCCATGCTGACATTTAGAACTATGAGAATTCTAAAGCAGCATAGGTGGGATTTTCAGAGGACTTTGCAGGAAGTGGAGATGAAATAGTGCTTGGGAAAGATGGGCAGAATTCAAGCAACCATCTTCAAGTGTTTCAGTGCTGGTGAGAGAACCTGTCTGTGATCTGATGCATGTGCACGTGTGTATTGGGGTGGTCATAGGCAGTGCCTCATCCCCACAGTATCTAAATCATGCCAGGATAGTGCATATAAGGATGGCAGGTCTCACGCCAGGGAGGTATCTTCCCATGTGGCCCATAGCCCTCCTCCAGAATGTTCACAACATGCCATTTGGAGACAGTCCACAGCATGCATTTCACTGTGGCTCAGGACTTGGGCTCCACATTCATGAATCCACATTTCAACATTCTTTAACCCTAAATTGTTAATATCTTTTGTGATGAAAGAAAGGATCTTTCTCCTTTGAAATATCTTACTGTCCTACCCTAACAAAGCAAAAACAAAACCCTGAATCCATTGAATAGTCCTTTTATGACAAAGCAGTCTTAGGAAATTCTTTGATAAACTTGTTTGGGGTAGACACTAAGATCTTAAGGGGCTCTGGGTATGTGTGAGATGCCATTTCTGCCCTCAGGCAAGGAACTTCTTGGGTACAAGGCGCCGCACCGTGACCCCAGATTTCTGCAACAGAACAAAACAAAATGTAGGCTTCGAGTGACTTTCCTAAAAGCTAATTTAGTAGATTATTTACGGGCAGAGCAGAAATGGCTAGTGAAGACTAAGTGTGAACAGTGTAGACGAGGGTAAAAGTGACACGAGGGCACACAGAGCTCGGGCAGAGGCTTCGGCCAAGATGTTCAGTTCAGGCTGCGGTCAGCCCTGTTTCTGTCCAGTAAGGAATGAGGATTCCTGGATGCTTTAGTATTTAGATGAGCTGCCACATAACATTTATACAAATGGACACTAGTGGGGAGCAAGAGAAAGAAAACACATAGTAGGGGCTCTTTCTAAGAAGAGCAGCCTGGTCTGGTCTAAACACAGGTAGTCTGTGTCAGACCAAGGGTCCCTGATGGGTGACAGGAGGGCAGGAGGAGTTGGAAAGGCAGTGGCTATGAGGAGAGTTGACTGAGGGACAGATAGGAAGGTGGGATGGAAGTGAGATAAACTTGGAGTTTTATGTAAGGCAGTCATCAGAGAATGTTCCTGGAAATCATGTAGAGCCATCTTGGTTTGCTATAAGGGGTACTTTGCCACAAAGTTTAGGTGTTTCTTCAACTAAATTACAATATACCAACTCAACAGCAAAGGAGCCTAAAGCATTTATTCTATAGTGTTTCATCATAACGCATTGCACACAAAAATATGAGCAGAAAGTCTCAAACACTAATCTGTTCTTTGTATCTTTCAATTAATTTGGATACAAGTTTCAGGTAATTTCTCATGCTTGCATTGTGGTCCCCGATGAATGATTTTAAAAATCATTTTCCATCATTTTAATTCACCCTTCAGTAATTTGAGGAAGTCCAAGAGAATCACATCAAAATAAGTAGGGGCAAGGTCATCCTTAGTCCTTCAAATTTGAGTGCGCGGCATGCAGAAAGGTGAGCCAGGGTATTCTGTGTTGTGTCTTCCACTAAAAGTATTAAGTAGGTATCAGAATATAAACCACCTGACTGAAAAAAAAATAACCAGTGGGTAGGAAAGGGACGTGTCAGAATACAAAGCTCAACTGACTTTTACTTAGAACAAAAATAGCCAGAAGGCTCACTGATGTACCCCAGATTTATCTACCAAATTATCAGCCAGGAACTTTTTGTAAGGTTTGGTACCTATCACAATTGTCCATAAATTACCAAGAGCCATTCATTCTGACCCAGCAAGGGGGATTTGTCTCAGCTTGCATACATTTCTTAAAATAAATGTTCTAATTTTAACTTGATAGAATATCTAAAGAGTCATCCAGATCACAAGACATAGTTTGACCCTAAGCCAGCAATAATACTGCTTATGTTAGCTGTTGAAATAATCCCTGTGACCTAATGTTACCAGAAGATCAGATAGAATTTTCATGACTAGTTTAGTAGCTGGTAACGTGGATAAGGCTACGGAGCTGTTTAGGACAGAAAGCAACTAGCCCAGGAGAGTACACCTAGGAGCAATTTAAGTTCTCACTGCATTTTTTATGTGCAATGTTCAGTTACATACCAAGAAAGTGAATGTGCTACTTGCATGCCATTTCTCCTGGAAACATGACAGTGATGCCAAGCATCCTCTTGCCCACTCCAGTGGCTCATACTCTGTCTCACTGCTCACTCGGACCTTTTCAGGCTCACACTTGAGAACTCAGCTGCACAACAACTCTTTCCCCACAAACAGACCACCTGTCCATTCTCACCAAAACCCTTCTCTCGAACCATCCACAATTTAAGTCAGGAGCTCATGCTCAGCCCTTGAGGAGTCTAGAATAAGACACAAGTTTGAGGGCAGTGTGGACTACATAGTGAGTTCAAGGCTATTCTGACCTACAGTATAAGACTGAGTCTCAAAAACAAACACCTGCATGCCCAAGAGGTGTAGTTAATCCTGTAGAGGAGAGGTGTGCCAAGGGAAGGGGCTGTGGGACACAGCAGTCCTGGCCCATCCTCAGCTGCTTCACAGCCACAAACAATATGACCAGCTAATAATTCCTTGCCCTGCAAGTGAATCCTCCCAATAGTGCCCTAGAAGATGGAACATCAGCTCTCAATAAGACAAACCTAGAAGAGCCCAGTCAATTACATTGCCCCTAGCTGGCTTCTCTTCAACAAGTAGGTCAGGGAAAGACTCAATGCCAGGACAGGAGGAAGGCTCTTCTAGGGTACCAAGTCATACT